TTGGAGCTGGCGGTAAATGATAAATCTGGAACACGGTCTATCGTTGAAGCATGGTACTTAATATTCACACCATGATGAGTCTGATGTTTCAATCCATGTTTTTAGTTTCACCACCAGTGACGTGGTGAGAAGTAAGATCTTGATCAGACTTATTTTTCATAACATGTATTCCATTAGATCTATCTTTTCTACCAAGAAATTACTAAAACTGGGATTCCACAATTGCATTAAAGTCACTGGCCAAGCGGAAAAGTCTAGGGTATAGGTTTTTAAGTTGTGCATTCTCCAGCCAAGTATCAATCCAGAACAACATTTTGTCGCCCTGCCTAGGCCTGTACCTAATCATGGATTGAAAGTGTGGGTAAGAACGCAGTATGGACTTCCATATCCCCGAGGAGTTGCTATGCGCTCGTCGGGAGGGTACCCAAGAGCGGTCAGAACTGTGGTATTTTGAGTTGATCACCTCCTGCCAGAGATGGTTGTTTTGGGTAGCTAAGTGCCACCACCATTTCCCAAGTACAGCAAGATTATTTTCTTTTGAGGGTTCGAATGCCCAGCCCCCCTAGAGATTTAGGCTTGCAGACATTCTTCCAAGATATAAGATGGATCTTCCTATCCCCATTGCTGGACCCCAAAAAGTTTCTCATTTGCTGCTCCAAACGGTGGGGCTGGCATATGGAAAAGTGACATTGGCTTTAATCAAAGTAAGGCGGCCTGCCGGAGATAGGAATCTGCCTTTCCACCCTACCATTCTATGGTCATATATGTCAATGATATGGCTCCAAAGATTCAGTCTAGGCTTACCTATGCAGAGGGGCAGTCCTAGATATGTGGAGGGCAAGTCCTCTGACGAGCAGCCCCAGTTTGAAGTAAAATTTCTCACGATAAAAGGGTCCAATTCCACACCACTCATCTTAGATTTGATAAGGTAAATTTTGATTCAATATTTGGGTGTCTCTACTAAGGTTTCAAAAAAGTGCTAGGCGGCCTGCCTGGCTCCTAGCGCCTAGCGCCTAGTACTTAGGCTGGCGCTTAGGCGGGCGCCCTGCGGTGCAAATTCTGTTTTTTTTTTATATATTTGTTATCCAAATGCACATATATGCATATATTTGTGTCAAAATTTGTAATTTATTCCAAAATTTGAACCATACAAAACATTTAAAAGTCTAATAGGCTACTGTAAGGTCCCCAACTCTCAAATTCAGAAATTCTCCATATTGGCATATATCATATCCATAAAATAAACCATAATAACATCCAAGATTCCAACTCTCCAACTCTCCAAGTCATCAACAAACTGACTTCCAAAACTATAGAAAAACCAGTGAAACATAACGAAATAGTCCAAAAAGGCAAAAAAATTACAAACCACATAACTAAATAAAAATCGTTCAAACTCCAAATTTCTAAAGCTCAAACCAGGATGGTGCAATAAAGTATTAAAGTTACTTCAAAAGAAGAGAGACGACAATCAAGACATCGATAAGAATCAGAAGCATCACCTTCATTGCCTTCATCTGCATTAGAATTGAGGCCGTCATCATCAGAATCATCACCCTCTTCAACATATTCCTCTTCTTCGAGAGATTCTTTTGAATCTGCCTCCTCTTCTTCTATCTCCTTTCGTGAGGTGCCAGCAGAAGAAGTTGCTCGAGTGGCCCTCTTAGGATCAGAAGCTTGCCCTGAAGCCTCCTCTACCATTTCCCATGTCAAACCCTCCCAAGGGAAGACCTCCTCAGTACCAGGGTCACTAACTAGCCAATCTGAAGCATTCTCCATGTATTTCGAAGAGATAGGGTCCGTCTTTGGTTGGTTTTTCTTCTCCTTGAGCCTTTGATTCTCTCTAACAAAAACTAAGTCATTGAGCTTCCTTTGCTCAAGCCTATTTCTTCTCTTTGTATACACCAATAAGAAAACATAATGCATAAGTAACTACTATAGGTCTATGATCTTCTTAACTTTTATGAATCTATATTACAAAATGAATATGAACTTATAAACAAAAAAAACATATAAAATTTTATTCTTTTAAAATAGTAAAATAGTAAAATACCATCTCAAACGAACTCCAATTGCGCTCACAACCAGAAGAGTTAGCTGTCAAACTCAAGATCTGCATAGCCATCTTCTGGAAGTTGGGAGCGCTACTCCCATGTTGTCTCCACCATTGGGCTGCAATATGTGGGCAACCTTTATAATTAATTTAAGCATTTAATGTTATCAGAACTTGAAAGAAAATTATAAATTTATATTTTATAAAACAAAAGTACATAAGTCAAAAGAATATTACCTGGTTCATCTTTGTTTCTCTGCCTTAATGCCATATCTTTTCCAAATGACATCAAAGAACACTGGTACGAAATTAGCTCTTCAATTGATTACTTATCTTGAATATTTGGATTAGGAACTAATTTTTCAAGGCACTCATTAAAACCATCCATAATTACCCCTTTTGACTCAATATCTGCATCTGCATAAAAGAATTTGGGGTTCAAGTGGTACCCTGTTACATGCAACGGTCTATGGAGCTGCCTATCCCATTTATCATCTATAATCTCCCAAATTGGGGCATATTTCACTGCATCATCACCCAAATTCTCTACAATCTCATTTTTAGCCCTTTCCATTGCATCTATATATAAAGCCCATGGAGGGCTTATCAACGTCAACCAAGCGCAAGACCTTCACCAAGGGAAGAAATACTAATAACTCATGCTTCACCCCACTCCAAAAATATTTCGAAAGAATAATATCTCGTGTCTTCTTTCCCTTGGCATCTCTAGACCACTTACATTTACTCCACTCCTTTGAAGCAAACATAGACCTAAATGCACTTATACATGCTCTGTAGACTAAGGAAGGCAGTGGCAAATCTAGCGACCCCAGGCCTCACTAGCTCTCTCTTTTTTGTAAACTTGCGCATCATGTTAAGGGTAAGTATGTGACTGTATATGAAGATTGTAACCTCCTTAGCCTTAAAAATAATGCTTTTAATAGGAGGCAATTCACCAATTGCCTCAAGCATAAGATCTACGCGGCGCAAGGAGTCCAAAATATATGAGGCCTCTTTTGTCGAAGCAAATGACCTGCAGTTAGATTGGAAGCAGCATTATCTGTGACCACTTGAATTACATGTTCCTCCCCAACCTCCTCAATACCCTTATCAATGAAAGAAAATACATAATGCGCATCATGAACATCATTGGGAGCATCGATTGAGCGCAAAAAAACTGTACTCGTGGGACAATTTACTAATAAATTCATGTTATTACTCCTCCTATCTCTCCACATATCTGTCATCAAAGAAACCCCAAATTTAGCCCATCCCTCATGAGTATTGAGATATTCATTAGTGTACTCGACTTCTTTCTTCAGTTGTGGCTCTCCAATCTCATAAGGAGTTGGAGCTTTCAAACTTGGCTCAAATTGCCCAATGGCTTCCAACATTGTATGGAAGCTTTTCAAACTACCAGTGTTAAAAGAAATGCCCTCATGGTAAAACCACCGAGCAATATATTGAATCACCCTGGCTCTATCATCTTTTTTAAACCTATTTTCAATTGTCACCTGTTTTTTCCCCTTTCCCATACCTTTCTCAATTACAGTCTCAAGACTAGGTGTAAAGAAACTATCTATAGGTCCTCTCGTACGAGCCTTCTTAGACCCAAAAGCCCTCTTGGTCTTAGAGCTATGAGTACCAACCCTGGCTACCTCTTCTTCCCCCTCTTCATCATTCTCTTCTTCAGTTCAGTATTGTCATAAAAAATATGAACCCCTGACTTTAATTCTGCTATATCCTTTTTTTTTGTAACTTTTTTACTCTTTTCAGCTTCAATGTACTCCAAAATTTCTTTCTTTACAAGATCTGGGACTTTCTTACATGGGACGACATCACCTCTAATATCGACAAGATGTTTCTTAAATCTATTTATGCTGGCATTAGAAACATGTCCACAGAAATTGCACATAATTTTATTTTTGTCATTCTTATCCGGTTTAACACAATATTTCCAACCCGGATCTCCGCCCCTAGTAGACCCCGCAGAAGACATCTCAAATTGAAAAAATAAATCTCAAATAAAGATTATAGATTGACTTTTTCTACCCAATCTCTGATCTTCGATGTTGGCTATTTCAGTTGAGCTACGAATCAACTTAAAAGTCTTCCAATAACACCAATAGCACCCTAAAAATAATTTTAATCAGAAAAACCAACTTTTTCAATCCACAAGAAGTATTTTCAATTCTCAGCAATTGCTTTAGATTCTCATAAATATATTTAAAATTGAGGGTTTCTTGTTTTTGTTTTTCAGTTTGGGGTTGAAAATAAACCCCTAAACTTATTTTATACAAACTTGGGGGTCAAAATGACCCCCTTTGCCCTTTTGGGCGAAGTTGAAAAAAAAAAATTGTAAACTGTGCTGGGTGCCTGCCCAGGTACAGCCGCCTGTGTTGGGGTGCCCAGGTCCAAGTGTGAGGAAAATGTTTTTTGGGCGCCTAGGCGCCTGGCGGTCCGTTTTTTTAAACATTGGTCTCTACACATCCTAACCTCAGTTTCAATTGTTGGGAATTTTTTGTCATCTAAATTCTGGAGTCCTCTATATTTTTCACAATAACCAATTGAGGTATCAGCATCGTCAGGTTGACCTGAACAGTTTAGTGTATAATATTATCTCTGACTAGGCTGCTGCCATTTACCTGAACGGAAGAGAGGTGCATGTCTGTAAATTGAAAGCCACATATAACATACGTATTAACATGGTGATGATTGCACATGGCTCTGCAATAATTTTTAAATTATTAGTAATTATTGTAACCAAAATGATATGCTGCTTTGTAAAGCCTGTTCTTTTTCTATGGGTTAAGAGGCCACCATGAAAAATTTCCTGAACAACGTGCTTTCAGATAGAATTGAACAACTGCCTTTTGAGTTCTGCGTGTTGGTCTTGTCTATATGCCTTACAATGGCATACTCTCTGTTATATCAATGTGACCTGCAGGAGAAGATGAGAGCAGCACAGTCAAAGTTTATGGCTAGCCTCAACACTATGCCAGATGATGGGTCAGAGTTGTCAAGATCTAAACCGGAAGAATTCATGTTCAATGACACACGTAATTCTGAAGAGCCGAATGCAGTTTTTTGTTCTCTATGTCGAGATTCAGAATCTAGAAGTCCACTGTCTTTTCTGGTTCTTCTCCAGGTTAGAAATCGCTCGTTTCGTTGAACTTGGTTGCTGAATATGCTCTATCTATGGAATTTTTGTGCATCACTTTGATCTGAATGTTTATTATAAGTTTCTGAGTACTTGTCTCTCTAACGATACCTAATGAAACTTTTCTATACTTCTCTAAACAATGTCAGAAATCTCGCCTTTTGAGTCTTCTGGAGAAAGGCCCCCCATCATGGGATCAAATTTATCACAAGGACAAGGATGAAGCTGCTTATACAAGAGGTCCAGGTGAGATTACTCATGCTGACTTAGTGGAGTTAATTCGGAATGCAGTGAATGTGGTCTCTCATGGTCGTCAGACCGCAGAAGTTGATGATTTTCTGGACAACGTTCGCGTGCAACTTCCTTCTGAAACACAGTCAGCACATCCCTCTGAATCTTATGGATCAAATGAAAATGTTTCGTCTTCTTCAGTTATGATGGAACACGATACTCCCAATTCCAGTCAGCAAAGTAACTCCTATATGCCATCAAGCTCAAGTAACAATGATGAAGAGAATTCACCCATTTCACACTCAATGGACGGCTCAGTGACAAGCAGGGATGCAGATGATGATGTTCTTAGAGAATATGCTGAATCATTACCCGGAGAGCTTTCGGAGCAGCAACTTGCTGCTGAGAATGGGTTTCTTCCTCATAGGAGTGCATCTTCAGTCCCGGACTGTCAGTCTTTATCCTTTGATGGATTTGGCCCTGTAGACTGTGACGGTATCCATATTTCTTCTTGTGGGCATGCTGTACATCAAGAGTGCCGTGATCGTTACTTGCAATCACTTAGACAAAGGTATACAGTACTTAGTTCAGGATAATAACAGGTTGTGTATGGAACTCATTAGTGTTAGGGTTTGTTACCTTATCTGTACTTTCACTTCTGATTCAGATTGTCTATCTAGAAATTGTCGTTCATAAGCATGCTAAATGAAGGTACCTTGGTGTGCTAGAATATCATGACATGAAAGTTATGTCCATTTTATTGCTATCTGATATTTGTTACTTCTTTGCTTGTTTAGTTGTCCATTTTGCAGGAAGTGCATGCCCAAGAACCATGTGGTTTATGTTGCTGACTATGTTTAGAAACTTTGATTTTTGAAAGACATATTTACATGCAGAACAATGGGGAACGTGATTAGAATTACTGCATCATGAAAATTACATACGTTGTTATTATATTTTCGGGAAATGTTTTATCCAAATACCCATGAGAGATGCACTATTCAACATTTTACATATTTGCAACTATTCAAACTCATGATCATGTTTTTTGATGGGTATTTTGAAAATTAAGTCAAACATAATGGATAAAATGTTAATTGTTAAATAGGTCATATCTCATTGTTATTTTAATTATCACCCGTAATTACTTGTTAATGAGAATGTTCAGTTATTTGTCTCGATACTTCCAAAAGCTTGAAAAGCTAAGCGCTTGATACTTTGTGAAAAGTAAAGGAGATATTTTTTCGACATTCAGAGATTCCTGAAACACATTTTGGCCTAGAAGTACCAACTCTTAATAGCATTTGCTTCGTTATAAACCGATAGAGGTAAGGCGAACTTGACTCTGTCATTTTTGCTGTGATTTGGTTATATTAGAGGCTTATAAGAATTCAAGAGATTTCCATGTTGTAATTGATGATCTCTCTTTAGTCACTCATCTGCTTTGTCTATGTTGTGCCTTGTGATGTGAACTACACCTAATTCCTGCTTAACGAGGCATTGTCTTTCCTTGTTCCTGCAATGTCATTCCAGCTACCTCCTGTTATCTGCAACATTACAGAAATTTTTTTCTAGTTTGCTCTCCAAAATTTAGACATAAACCTTTAGCATGGTCTTATGGCTTTCCACATTGTAAACTCTAGGTGGCTGGAAGGGTAGATTTCTTTCCTCTACGGTGGGAATGACCCTTATCAAGGCCACTCTTTCCAACGTCCCTATATTTTCAGATGTTTATCGTTCACGTGCCCGCCTTAGTCGTGGCTGGGCTGGAACAGCACATGAGGTATTTCCTGTGGTCAGGAGTGGGAGGTCCCAAGTATCATCTCATCTCCTGGGCGAAAGTCTGCTCGCCTCGCCCAAATCCCATGGAGGTGTAGGCATCTGCAGCCTCAAATCAAACAACTTAGCACTCCTAGGTAAGGAGTGGTAGCGATACACCACACAAGAGAACCACCTCTGGAAAGATGTCCTCCGGCACAAGTACCACTGTGGAACCGATGCTTGGCTTTCTCACTGCAGGAGCAGTAGAAGACTCTAGCCTTTGGAGATCCTTATTCTGCAGCTACAATCTCTTCTTAGACAACATCCATTTCCGACCTCGAGAAGGTGACAGAGTTCTTTTCTGGTTTGACCTTTGGATATGTCGTTCTCCTTTGATGAAGCAATTCCACAATCTGTTCGTCCTAGCTCGTGACACTCATGTAACTGTTGCCGACCATTTTGAGCCGTTGGGCTTTGCTAGAGTTTGGAATTCCAACTTTAGGTGGCCATAGCGGGCAACGAGGTGGAAGAGTTCTTGGCTATGTCATCCCTTCTTCACTCTGTGTTCCTCCCACCCACGGTCTTGACAAGATTATTTGGGCACCTGCCCCCCACAGGTGTATTCTCGGTATCCTCTTTCTACTGCAAAATCACCTCACTCTTACCCTACCAGCAGCACCACCTTCCATACCAGCTAAAGCCTGCTTCTCCTTCATCCCTCCCAAGGTCCAAGTCTTTAATTGGATAGCCTATTGGTGAAAGCCTCGACTGCCGATCAGGACCAAAGAAGGCGTCTGGCATTATGCAACGGATGTTGTGTGTATTGAGGAGGAAGAAACCAATGCACACCTCTTCATACATTGTGACTTGTCCGGATCTCTCTGGGGAGACCTCCAAGTTTTCAACTGGTCATGGGTGACTCTGAGGTCAGCACGCCTTCTTGCCCTCTTTCACTCTCCTCTGTGGACCAGGTCGGGTATACTCCTTTGGCTGGCGTCAGTGGCTGCCATATTGTGGATTATCTGGTACAAGAGAAATAGTAGGACCTTCCATGGGGAGAAGGCTACAATTGAAATCTTGTAAGTCAGGGTCAGAACCTTGGCCACCTTCTGGCCCAAAAACCACAACTCCTTCAAGCACTTCTCCTATTCAGACTTCCACCAAGACTGGCAAGTGCTGTTGAACTCGAGGCCTACTAGTATCCCACGTGCTTTGTTGTGGAGACTGCTCGAACTCGGCCAATCAAAGCTCAACTTCGATGGCTGTTCCCTTGGGAACCCGGGCCCCTCAGGTATCAGAGGAATCTTCAGAGACAAGGATGGCAGTACTCTCTTTTACTTCATTCAATCATCAGCCATATGGACTCTACTACTATGGAGGCTTTGGCTTTTTTGGGGGCCTTAGGAATTTCAATCCCAGTTGGAGCCCGGAATTGGTTGTCGAGGGTGACTTCAAAAATGTCATCACCTGGGCCTCCATATCCTCACCCTATCCTTGGAGAGTGGATCATGTTTTTGATGAAATTTTAGACATCTGCTGGCTTATGCGCATTTCGTGGAAACATACTTGGAGACAGGCCAATGCAGCAGTGATGCATCGCTAGATAGGGAGCAGCACTAGATACCAATCAAGGGATTTTTGTCGACTTTTTGAGCTCTCAGTCTTCCAATTTTTGTATCTCGCTTTCTACGTCATCTTCTCAGTGTAGAACATTTTTTGAGCCCTCTTTGATGGTTTTTGTACAGAGCACCCAGCTTGTGGGTTATCTATACTTTTGTAATTTGTCTAACACTTTAGAACCCTTTACCTAACTCATCCATGCCAGGTGATTTGCCAAGAGACCAATTATAGGGATTTGTAAATGCTAGGGATGTGTGGATTCTAGACTGCATACTGTTTTTGCATCTTTTCTATGATGGCTTCATTGTCAAGGTGTATGTCAGGGGGTTTGTTGGTTGAGGATAGGGATTGTCGTGAATTTTTCCTTAGCTATTTTTGTTTGGGCCTATATTTCCTATGCAATATCTTCTCCCTTTGGTCTTAACAATTGTATAAGAAGATCTGCTTTTCATGAAGTTTGAGTACCTCCTTTGTGCATTGTGATTATGTATCTTCATGTCTTAAGTTGATAGTGGAATGCATAATAAGTTAAAAAATTATGAGTATACTATTCTAGTTCTCTGGATAAGGCACATTTATTTTGTCATTATATATATATTGATGCAGATATATTAGCAGAATCATATTTGAAGGAGTGCACATTGTGGATCCAGATCAGGTACTTTTTCATTTCATGCATTAGTACTTTATTTTATTGAGTTGTTGAACATTGCATACTTTCTTATCTTTTTCTGTTATGGCTTTATAGGGAGAATTCCTTTGTCCAGTATGCCGAAGGCTGGCAAATTCAGTCCTGCCTGTAGTTCCCGATGGTTATCCATCAAACAAGATTCAGAAGCATATGTTGTTTTCAAAAAACTTTAGTTCGAAATCCGCTCACTCATCAGTTTCAGTATCTCATGGTCTTCGTCTTCGTCAAGCTTTATCATTACTACAGGGGGCTGAAGATCGAGTTGGAAGGAGTGGGTCTCGGGGAGTTATCTCTGCAAGAATCGATGAGCAAATGAAACCGGCCCTTGAATCTGTGTTTCATGCTCTCAGTAAGATGTATTTCTCAGAGAGGAGCAATACTTTATCAGCATCTGGGAGGGTTTGCTCCTCTCTGCTTCTTTGGGATGTGCTTAGGTACTCTCTGATGTCAACCGAGATAGCTGCTCGGCATGGAAAACCAAATATGCCTATTAGGAGTTCGCAAGCCAGCCTGGAAGCTCTTTATAAGGAGGCTAATTCTTCCATGGGATTCATATTGGGTCTTCTACTTCAAGTTTGCCAAGCCACGCAGATTCAGAGCCGTAGTTTGGTGCTTATGAGATATAGGGGGATACGACTTTTTTTGGGCTCTATTTGCTCTGGCTCTTCTTTGGATGAGTCTTACAAAGATACCCAGAGAGGTATGCTTCTTTGCCTTGTTTTTCTAATGCCTTGCGATGTCTCTGGATTATGAGTCTAGCCGTCTATAATGTTGAGAGTATTGTCGTTAGCTAAATTGCTTTTTTAGGGAAATTTATCAAAATACCTATGAGAGATTCACTATTTAGCATTTTATACATTTGCAGCTATTCCTACTCATGACCATGTGTCTTGTCATGGGTACTTTGAAATGAAATCAAACAATATAGGTAAAATTTTAAATAGTTCATAACTCATGGGTATCTTGATAAATTGCCTTTTTTTTATGCATGCTCAGATATTCATGCTAGAAATGCTAGACTGAGTTTCCATGCCAGTGCTTATTTATTTGATGAATAACAAGAGCTCTAGTGTGATATTTATGAAACGTAATGCAATTGTCTTCTGTAAATCCATCGTTTTTGCAATATAATGATCAATACTCACACACACTAGTATGAAATATGTGGTGGTGGTTTTGTTGCTAAATCAGGAGTTCTTTGTGATTGGCAGGTGATTTATCATCACTTCTTAAGAATTTTGACAAGGGAAAACTCTGCCCTGATATTCGCTTCTGGAAACGGGCTGCTGATCCAGTGCTTGTTCATGATCCCTTTTCTTCTCTCATGTGGGTGCTATTTTGTCTTCCACTTGCCTTTCCATTATCAGAAGAATCATTCATATCTCTTGTGCATTTGTTCTATGTCGTCTGCATGATTCAGGTAAAACTAACTGCTTTTAGTCTCAGCTGACATATATGATACTATAACTTAGAAATGTTTACTTGCCAGAAGCCCTAAGATAGTTAGATAAAATTTTGTTTGTTATCTTATTGCAGGCAGTAATCACCTGTTGCAAGAAACGTGTCTTTGATATATCAGAACTAAATTCTGGTGGTCGCCTTGTTACTTCTATTTACAAGAAATTGGGAGAAGCTTTAATCAATGAGCAGCATTTTGGATCCAATTATTTTGATGGCTCTTGCCCTCCTGTTACGATGATCCGTAGATATACCTTGCCATATCTTCGTAGATGTGCATTATTGTTAAAATTGCTAAAATCTTCAATGTCTGCTCCATTTCATGGTACCTCTCATGTGTGGGAGAGATCATCCTCACATATGAGCATTGATGAAATGAAAAGCATTGATAGGATATCACTGGAGCTTGAAGAAGTTCTAGAGCTTGAGAACATGTTTCAGATTTCTCCATTGGAGGATGTCCTCGAGGGTGAAGAGGTGCAGACTTTAGCCATGAAATGGTGTGAACACTTCTTTAAGTCATCAGGAGTTCGTTCTTATGGGCATGTCATGCTCTCTACTCCTGCTATTCCATTTCAGTTGATGTGTCTACCGCCTATTTACCAGGATCTCTTACAGAGGTTTGTCTCAAAATTGATGACCTATTTTTTTCTGATATTACTGACGTGTATGACACTGGGAATATTTAAAACTTTATTGTCAGGTATATAAAACAGCAGTGTGGAGAATGCAAAATTAATTCGGATCACCCGTCAGTTCCTGCACTGTGCTTGTTATGTGGAAGGTTATGCAATTTAAACCGGCGTTCATGCTGCAGGTTTCTTATCTCTGCACTTATTTCTTTTAGAACTTCCCTTTTGTGCTTTCTTTGTACTACTGAACTTTTAGGTTTATTTTTTTTGGTTCCTGGTTATTCCTTTCCACTTCCACTATGTGTGTCTGACATCGTTATGTGTTTTTGTATTACTGAATAGGTTATGTGATTGTCAATCTCATGCAACAGCCTGTGGTGCCGGAATTGGTGTATTTTTGTTGATCAGGGTTTGGTTCTTATATCTTTTTCCCCATCTTTCTGATATTCTGCAGTGGTTGTTTATGTCATTCTTTTCCTGAAATGATTTCTTCGCTTTCCTTTTCAAACAGAAAACTACCATCTTATTGCAAAGATCCGCACGTCAAGCACCATGGCCTTCCCCTTACTTGGATGCCTTTGGTGAAGAGGTATGTTCTGTTTGCTAAGCTTGCTTTATATATATATATATATATATATATATATATAGATATATATAGGTATATATATATCATGCTCAACCAATTTGGCACACAATATCACTAGCTATCTGTGTCATTATCAATCTAATATATCCATATTCTTTGAAAAGTTAACGAATTCTTCTAGATAATAGTATATCAGTATATCACTCGTCTGTTACAATTTGGATATATATGTAATAAGACCATTTACTTTTTGAACAAGGAGTCAAAATCATTATTGCCAATTGGATGTGAAATTGATTGGTTGGGGATGTATCATTGATTGGGTTCTAAATCGAAAATAAAATTTCTCGAATGTCGTGAAACACTTCAATCAGTCGGATTTCACATTCAATGGATAATAGTGATTGTGACCTCTTTGTACCAAAAATAAATGGTCTTATCATATACAATCCCTAGTTCTTTCCCTGTAAATGACATGAAACCCTAGAGCATCCAGCCTTTCTGTGTCCTAGTTATCTAATGCCTATGTTATGGTATAATTAAGATTTTCCGTGTCCTAGTTACCTAATTGCCTATGTTATGGTATAGTTAAGAGAGAATTATATTACATGATGCAAGACATGTTGTAGTGGAGATAATTATATTACATGATGCAAGACATGTTGTAGTGTAAACATGGAGTGACAATTGTGGTTAGCATGGATTTTTGTTGGATTTTTTTTCTGGGGCAATATGGAAAGCAATGAACATCTCATACATTTGGGCAAGAATCAGATGCATTTGCTCAACCAGGTCTTAGGAATCCACAGACAATTGTTTCTGGAGTCTCTAATCCTGTTCTTTATTGGTTTTTCACTTCATGCATGCTTGCATGCATGCATGAGAAGAGACAAGCGAGTAAGGAATGGCCTCCAGGCCTGGTTGGTCAGGGTGGCACGGTTTCACAAGATGATGTCTGGAGTTCTAATCCTATCGTGGTCCTAAGTTAACATTCAAAAAGAAAAAAAGAAAAGAAAAGAAGAAGAGATACATGAGTTCTATCTGTGTACTTGGAGGCTCACTTATTTATGAACAGAGAAAAAAAAGGCCCAAACTTATTAATTTTGTAGAGGAAGTTCTTTCACTTTATGGTGAGTTCGGTACTAACTGGAGCATTTCCCTGGCCAAGTGTCTTCTTTTAGTTTGCTTTTGATGGTTGGAGGTTGCAGAAGGAAGTGTTTATAAACAAGTAAATGGAGCTTGTGCTTAATTCTCACAAATTATGGGTTCTTTCATTTTCATCCACTGTTATCATATGCAAAAGACTAGTTACTTGTTTAGCATTTGTACAGGGGTCAAACTATTTTTAGGAAACAACTGGAAACAAAAGGAACAAAAAGAATAGAACTAAAGAATTCGCATGCAGTTATATTAGTGTGTCAACAGTCCCTCTCCAATCATGTCTTTGTTTCACTTGGGTAGGTCAGGATGGCAATTGAACCTGGGTTGCTATGGTGCAATTATCATGGCTGTAGATGTCAAGCCAGGTGCGTGTTTCCAAAAGGAACAAAATTTTAATATGCCAATGGTAGCATTCGAACTTGAGACCGAGCGTTATTTAGGGATACATGGTTCATCCAACTTCATTTCTTGTTACTTTATAATCAGGAAGAGATTGGTTAAAAATATCTTGAACCTGCTGGTTGGTAGATTGATAGAAGGACAATAGATCGAAATCATACCCATGGTGGCATACGCTTGACTGATTTGTTCTTCTCTACAAGTGTATCCAAATCTTAGTTGCATGCATTTGAAGGGGGAAATACTACTTCTGAAGGATTAGGAATGGCAATGCCTAAGGGGCTGTATAGTGTATGCAAATGTGTGTCCGCTAGGTTGTGTTTATGGGAGTGTGGATAGATGCATGCTTATAGGAACATTTTAGTAAAAATTATGAAATTAACGGGGAATTATTAATAACAAGTTACCAATTTTTCATTGCATTTCTTCCGTCCACATTTATCCTCTTAGCCTACAACTTAGGATAAGTTTGACACAAAACATTTTAAATCCTTCTGGAGGGAAACATATAGAAAAACTTAGGTGAAAATATTCTATTTTTTCAGTACTTGTGATCCAACTGGAAGGAAACCGTATTCACTGTCTATTTGGTTTGACGGCCTGTTTTGCTTTCCTAATAAAACTAATGCAAGTTAACCAAAAAATCACAATGTTTTGGGACTAAGTTCATAACCAAGGAAGGTTGCCTTGTGATCAGCAGAAACAAGTTGTACTAAAACCCGTCTTTCTTCACTTGGAATGTTTTTATCAACTTCTAGAATAAGCAATGCTTGGGTCCCTGCCTGCCCTTACAGAACGTCGCATACAAATGTAAAATTTTTTTTGGATCATTAACAAAAAATTCATTGCTACAGTAGAAGTGCAATGAAACAAGAGCAAAAAACAAAGTTCAAGAGATGTCATCTCTTGATTCCAACATTGAAATTATGCCGACACAGAATGATTATCTAAGAACCCCTTCATTGACAAAGGTATCGATGTCTTGGTTGGCTTCCCTAAAAATGTGCAGAAAAAATCACGCCCTTTGCGTCACAAACATTGCTCGCCTAAGCGGGCTGCCTAGGCGGTAAAAATAGGCAGTCTGCCCTTAGGCAGGCACCTAACGCCAAGCCCTGGGCGGCTGCCTAGGTGCTTGGGCACCTGCCTAGGCAAGCACCTAACGCTCAGCCCTACGCAGCTGCTTAGGTGCCTGGGCACCTGCCTAGGCATTCACCTAACGCCCAGCCCTAGGTGGCTACCCATGGCCTGTGCCCCATGCAAGAGCGAAAATGCTCCTCGTTGATGGGCATATTTGGGTTTGTTTGAGAAAAATAAGATTGTAAAAAGTGGGGTTTAGGTTCATTTCAAAGCTAAGCCCCATTAGAGCTTTTTTAGAGAGAGACATCAAAAATTTAGATTTTTGTGATTTCCATAGGATCGAAGGGTATGGACTATGGGGTACGTGGAGTTTGGATTATCATATGGACTATGGATATGATCTAATGCCTAATGGTTTGAAGCTTATGCATCAAAGTTTGATTTTTGAATTTGAAATGCATGGAATTATGGACAACAATATGTCTCAATATGTATTTTTTTAATTTTTTACACAATATGACCTTAAAACAAATTTTTATTCTATTGGGCCACCAGGTTCTAGGCGCCTGCCTAGTGCAGGGCAGCCTGGACCCCTGGGGTGCTTAAGTGCTGCCCGACATTTTTTTTTTTGATAAAGTTAACATTGTGTTACTGGCAGAGAGTTACATTGAAGTCCGATATCACCCTAGAGAAGGGTGACTCAGTAAAAAATGATGCTAGCCTACCATATACAAAAAGGGCTTATAAGGCCACGCAATTACAACAATTTACAATAAGCTCTTGCAAAAATACATCAAGAGGGAAAGACCAAAAAAGAGAGCCATATTAAGTCGTGAGCCCTTGGTCTTGAGCAAAAAAGGTGCCGCCCGGTATTTTTGGAACACTGGTCACAAATATCAAAGATCTCGATACAATTACTGAATAATAAATTGTACAAAGAGTATGGTGACCTAAAAGGGTCACTCTATATAGAACCCAATAGGGTCCAAAAGATTTACAATGTGAAAAGCTTCTTTGAGAGCAAGAAAGAAAATGGTGGCCACAAAAACCTAGGTCCCCAATGGGGAGTTGGAATGGGCCCCCTCCTTGACCAATCGATCAGCGTCTGTGTCACACCCCAAGAATTTACAACACTGTTATTCCTGAGATGTGACAGGCAAAACATATATACATCTATTGATAGGACAAATTTACAGTGGCGAGGTCTTACAAAGTAAATAAAGAAAGCTAGCACAATAACAGTATCTTCCAAGGTTGATCTTGACTAGCACTCAAAATGAATTCGCAGTTATCCTGAAAAAATGTTTACCATAGTTTGATGAGTTTGGCTACTCAGTAAGTGATCATCATAATCCTAAAAATAATCATGATTGAAAGATATCAATATTTTCCAAAATGAGATCTATTAACAGAAATGCATCAACAGTTTCACTTTCAATAAATGCATAATTAAGTATAATCCGAGTAATTGAAATGCTTATAACACTTTTAACGGCAGTGCATAATTCAAAGGATTTCACAAAATACTCTACTGGCGTCCCAAGTAGGTCACCTATATTTTAACCAATCAAATATTTTGGGCTCAAATTTAGAAAGGTAGCAGTTTGTAAAGGCATTCTAGCATAATTGCCAATTTAATATGTATAGAAAAACTTTTATGGAAATTCAAGAATACGGAATTATCACAATTTATGGGATATCAATCCCCAAATAAACATTTCACAACAATACTATAATCAATTGCAAAAATGTCAATAATAAGGCAGTCATTTGCACATGAATTTTACAATGTCTAAATATTCAAAACAGTAGAAAGAAATATCACAATTTTACTAAAAGCAGAAATATCACATTTATTTTTAATAATTTGATAGTATCTAAAATTTTCTAACAATAGCCAAGAAAAATAAATAAATTTATTTTTCTAAGAATTTACAGCATTTAAAATTTCTAACATAGATAAAATATCACAATTTTTATTAAAAAGATTATTTTTCAAGATAATGAGGTCGTGTGCGCATAAAATTTATCGCACCTAAAATTCATGATAATAAGCAGAAATAATTATTTCATTTTATCTTTAAAAAGGATGGATTATTTTTCTAGACAATGAGGTCACTTACACATAAAACTGATAAAATAAAGATCCTGGACGGAAATATCACTATTTATTAAAAACAGACTATTTTTCAGGAAGACGATGTCACTTACTTATAATCACTCACGAAATTGATGCTTTTTGTGTATGTTGGTTGGGGCACTAAAAGGCCGCCCGTTTACAGTAGATCTTATGGAATCAGTATGCACAAGAGCTCAGTGATAAAAGTTTCAGTTAAAAAGACGCATCTCATGGTTATACCATAGGA